GTTTGTGCAATCACTGTTGGTGAGTTTCTTGTTTATGTCTACGTTTATGTTTTTTACCATGTCAAGTTAAGTCAAGCCAAGTCTTTGTTTATTTTTGTATCTGCTCACATTTGGATTTAATAAAGCTGCACTTGGGTTTGTCTACACTCACCTTCAGTGTACTCATTAGGCTACACACTAGGCATTAGTCCTGTATTTGAGTCATTAATGCAGTTCCATTCACACATATTTCAGTTATTTATGGGTGTGAAAACCGCATTCTATAACTGAATTCTCATCTGTAAATTTTCAGAACTCACAACCATATTTTCGGTGAAGCCCTGCTGTGTGAACGGAACCTTACTGGGCAACTAGTGGTCTGTTATGTCACAAAGTGCAAGATAGACGCTCTGGCTGCATCTAGTGTATGTGTGGTTTCGATAACTTACAGAGACACAGATATGAGCTGTGTGTCATGTGAAGGTTAAGATCCAGTCACTGTCCTTCACCACAGCTACTCCAGACAGTTTTATGATCTGTGTTTATGACTCGTATGCTCGGCTCTTTACTGAGGTATAAAAGCTGCCATCGGTTAATTAGGATTTGACAGATGAAATCAAGCCTCACTTGAACTTCTGTCATGTTAAATGTGATAAGACTGGAGTTTTTGATGTCTCCTTCTTTGATATTTTTACTATAGTCACTGTCACTATGGTTACAGGTGATAGTCATAATAGAATACTGGCTTGACTTCAGTTGCACATTCATACAGAGTATTTGAGCCTCTATTACAAGCTGCTGTTTAACAGGATATTTTGAGACTCAAACCTATAACTAAAGACGGCTGTCAGTCCCAAACACTGACAGCGTGAATGTAGCCTTAGCTGCAGACTTTCTACAGACAGAGAAACCAGCGCAGGCTCCAAAGATGTCATTTTAATGATGTTATCTGATGATTTTAAATTACTGGTGCATTTGTCTGGAGCCCTGAAACATAAACACTGCTGTTCCACCTTCAACACACACAGACAATGTTTTGTGTATGTTTTCATTTTGGACTTATGCTGACACTTATATTAAGTTTTCAATTTAAAAAATCGCTATTCGCAGCCATGGATAAATTACTATGTGAATGAAAGTGTCTGATATCAAGGGGTTACTGAGATTAAGGTCAGTAGTATTCGGCTGAAGGGAATTTCTACACTTTCAACTGTGTAGAAACACAGTTATGTATTTTTATTTGAGCCTACATAACCAGCACAAGACAGATGCAAGGGGTCAGTAAACATTTTTAGTTGCAGAGATCTCTGCCTTTTCTCCAGAGCAAGACTAAATCAAATTCAGCTTCCTTCACTTTTTATAGCAATATGCTCGATCAAAAATGTCACCCAGTATCCTTTGATTTAGATTAAAAGACTGCACTGCTACAGAGTCAGCACTTTTGAAAGACCCCTATATCTGCGCTGTTTTGGCTGATGACTCACATGACCCGCTAGGCTTTTAAGATCTGCAAGCAAAGCAGACAAACCATTTCCCCCAAGGAGTCAGTTCACTCTAGAAACCAAATGCATGGATGGATTATTTATTTGTCCCTTAAGGATCTTCTGTCAGTGATACCCATCAGGCACACAGAAAGTGCCGGAGGACAAAATCTTATGCCCACATCTCCTGGGCAAGTAGCACCCCCTCCATCGTTTGGTTTCCATGGAGCACCTTCAACCTGCTCCTGAAGCTTTCCAGAATAAATGAAGCCATCTGTCAAACTTGTGCTTTTATGAGGCATAGTGGAAAGTGCTATGGAAAAGCAGTGATACAATCACCAGTGTAAAAAATACCCACAATGGAGTTGTGAGATTAATGAGGTGGAACAGCACTGAGACTAGTATGGCTCAGTTACAGGTTAGATAAACCTGACCTCCTTTGTAATGCAGATCACTCTGTCTCCGCTCTATTCTCTCTCGTGCTCTCTCTGTAAATGAGCCCTTTATAGCGTGTAATTTGTGAATACTGAATTACCCGCCCCTTCATGCTTTTCATGCTGCACGATTAAAAGTGAATCTGATGTTTTGCTGTTATCAAGGCTATGGATGATCTGTCACATTTATCAGAATAACTGAGTTACTATGCGTTACCAAGAGTTACCATGGAGATCTTTCTGTTCCACGTCACAATGTTTCATTATACCTTGAATTCAGTGTCCCCAGTGCACCATAATTTATCCATTATTGGATTGTATAAAAACAGAAAGACAGATGCTGATGTTAAAATTATTATTATTTTAATTATCTGAATACATATTTAAATTAATATTAAATATTTATAAATATTATAGTCCTACTAGTACTACCACTACTACTGCAATATAATGACAAATTAAAATGTGCACAAATGTAAGGAAATAAACATTTAATTAACAATGATTTACTATTTTAAGTTACAATACTTCATTTTACTTTATACTTTATTTTACTTTATTCTTTTATTATTAAAAAGTATGCATTTAAAGATAAATAAATAATTTAAATGCTTGGTTGTTGGCTGATGCAGATGATCTTAAAATGTTGTCTGATTAATCAGCTTAACTATAATAATAATAATAATAATTAAAGCTGCAAGCAGCATTTATCAGGGTTCAAGCGTATTAAAGGGTTAGTTCACCCAAAAATGAAAATTAGCCCATAAATTACGCACCCTCAAGTCATCCTAGGTGTATATGACTTTCTTCTTTCAGACGAATCCAGTCGGAGTTATATTAAAAATTGTCTTTGATCTTTCAAGCTGTTTAATTCACTCAGGGGGTGTTGCATGCATTTCGATCGGATCGAAGGGGCTGGTTTATACCTTTTCTAATATGATTGAGAGTGCATGTAAACACTCGATCGGATTGAACCCCGAAATTGAAAGGTCTGCGCATGTGCAACGACACAGAAATATCGTAATTACGTATGACGCGCGGAACGAGCGTTTCTTCCTTTTGAATAAAGTGTTGTAAATGCTTGTACTGTCATTATAAAACTCTCCTTTCACTTGGCAACTGTGAAGTGGAGCAGGACAACCTCCCACTAGTCCTTGTTTTGGATACTCATCCACAGGCAACCCATTTTGTGCGCAGGGAGGGGCGTTTTTACTGCGTGATAAATATGAGCAGCAGGGCACAGCGGTTTATATGTAGGCCTATATTTATCCATAAATGGATACATATCAATTCTGCTGTTAAAAACAAATAAAGAAACCATGTAGGAGAGTGGTTATTATGTGCACACAGTGAGAAACTCTATATTTGTGCAGTGTGCACATGTAAAAAAAAATAAACGCACACATCAACCCAATCACTTTCTTTAGCGTTCATGTAGGCTAAACACTACATTCAGATTCATCAATCGGAATAAATTCAGTCCGATTGAACCAAAAATTGTGCATGTAAACGTAGCCCTTGAGACCTACCATCTGGCCAGGTTTCAAGTCTCTAGGCCTTATGGTTTGATCTGCACAATCAGTTTTACGGCGGAATAATAATAATTATAAAAATCCTAACAATTACAATAGGGTTTCAGCGCTACGTGCTTGAACCCCTAATAACAATACATTTCAGTGTTTTAACAACAGTTATAATTTTGTGAATTAAACAATTTTGTTACTCTGTTGGGTCATAAATGTCCAGTGTAAAATGAGCAAAGCAAAACTAACAGAACCAAAACCACTGGTCTAAAAATCTGTCTTTAAATCAAATTAATGTGAGTCAAAAAACCAACTGGCCTCAATGAAGATTTATCCATGTCATTCTGATTTATCGCAGCAAACACACACACACACACACACACACACACACACACACACACACGAAGACACAGACACAGACACAGAGAGACAGAGACAGAGCACGTAGGAGTACTGCAATAAATTTGTATCTCTGCATGATAGGTTTGAAGACTATCATGAGATTATTCAACATGGGTTGAAATATTCATTGTGATGACTAATAGTCTAGTGTAATTTCATATAGGACGTTTACTCTGAAAGACAAAAAAACTGGTGAACAAATTAATTTCCAGGCAAGGATATTTAATACAGAAACCATCCAATTGACTCACTCTGGACTAATGATATTTTAATAGGAAATAAACCATAGATTATATCAATTTATAATTAATGTGCTCTTATCTTGAGTATATTTTTCATTAGCCCAGTGGCTTTGGAGAGAGTTGGTTAGATCACCTCCTGTTTGAAATTCTTTTTAATGTGCCACGCTAGTCTGAGTGTTACTGCATTTACTCAACCTTTTTGTTTCTTCAGATGCATTGACTTTGAAATCAGCTCTTTAAAGTTTTGATATATGTTAATTTAAAGCTTGATAAAAAAACATCAAAAGATGTACTGTGGCATTTAACAGACCGAGGACCATGACAAATGTAGCAATTAACTGAGAATTATATAATGTCCATCATAAGGAGAGTCACTCTCTTCTTGAGAGTCAGATCACTTGATCTGTTTCTTCCTTTATTAAATTAGGTACTTTTACATCAAGATATGACGTAACCTTTGCAAAATTACCAAGGAAACAACACTGAAGATATGTTTTCATTCATCCAATTAAAAAAAATTAGGGTAATGGTTCACATCTATATTTTATAACTTGAACCAATAAAAAATAAATAACTTGCCCTAAACAATATTTTCTATGTCTATGAAAACTATTTTATAAAACCTGGCACAAAGTATATTTTTCTTGTTGAAGAAAGTCAATTTAAATTCTATTTTTGATCTAAACAAAAAGATATAGATTTGGTTTGACCTCACCATTATGGCGATCAGGGTTTGCTTTATTTGGGCTCTTGACCATTGACTTTTTAATGTTAGTTTTTCCTGGCTGTTGTAACTGTGTTTGTAAAGCACATTTGCTATAGCAAGAAAGGCCAAGAAAATTTGTGCTTAAATGAGGTGACAAACTATTATGAAGGATTTTAAAAACATCTTATGCACAAAACCTTTAGAACTACAGCATCATTTAGACACAAGAGGCAGCCATGGAGGACCTGACACGTTTACGAGAGACCATCGACAACAACGTATGTCTGTCTGGCATCCTTTAAACCTCTGTCATCAGCTGGAGAAATCCAATATCCTTCCCACTGGTTAATTTGCTGGATCACCCATGTTCCTTTGAGCTCAGATATAACAGTCCTTTAGCAGACGACGGGCATTAGATCAACTATACACACAAAATTGACCAGGATGACATTTACATTGCATCAGCTCTAAGAAGTAAATGCTTGGCATTTTTATTTGCGGCGAAGTCAAAGATGGATACGTGTGGGTTTACTACAGCCGCGTTTGCTTTGCTAGTCCGTGCTTGTAACATCAACAGTGTGACATAAGTAAGACTGACGCAGTGTTGACATTTTTTAAATTAAACCATGTTTTTCTTTCCTGCCTTGGTTCAGTCGGTGAGTTCTCCTCTTCAGTCGCTGCAGCAGAGGATGTGGCTCATACACTGGTCTTTGTTTGTCTTCTTTAACCACCCCAAAGGTAGAGACAACATCATCGAGCTGTTCCTCTATCAGCCCCAGTGAGTACGATTACAGAAAATCCCTCTTCCGCTATAACAAGCGCTCTCAAATTGCTCATTAAAGAATGTAGAAGTCCAACACACTACATTTGCATAAATTTATGTCACTTGCTTAAGGGACGTGCCAGGAAGTGTGAGATGTGTTTGCAATAGTTACTTCAGAGAGGGTAGCTGGAAAATTCGCTGTTAATGAGATTTGCTCTTGAAAGCGTAATTTTTTTTAATGAGGAACAGTGCATGTTTGCGTGACCATGTAATGAACACCGCTCAGTCTGAGCACTTTGAAGATGACGCACTCCGTGTTGAGTGATGGAAGGTCCACTGTGATGTAATATTAAAACAGGAGCCAGTCAAAGCAGATTTCGTTGACGAAATGTCCACTGCTTTTTTTAATTTATTTTTTTACTTGTGGTTGGTAAATGTTAATTTGCATTTAATTTATTTTTATGACAAGATATCAATACTGGTTTCCTGAATCGATATGGTTCAGTTTCTCAATTCTGAATCTGATTCAGATTCGATATCGTTTCAGTTTGGAATATTTCAGTTGATACAAAATATTATAAATAATTTTTCAGGTATTATAAAACATAAAAATGTAAAAAGAAAACCCACTAGATTTCAAAAGTTTGGGGTCGGTAAGATTTTTTAAATGTTTTTGAAAGATGTCTCTTATGCTCACCAAGGCTGCGTTTATTTGAACAAAAAATAAAAACAGTAATATTTTGAATTTAAATAACTCTTTTTATATTTTAATATATTTAAAATTTGTATTTACTTCTGTGATGTCAACGCTGAATTTTCAGCAGCCCATTATTCCATTTTCTGTGTCACATGATCCTTCAGAAATCATTCTAATATGCTAATTTTCTGCTCAAGATTAATTTCTTATTATTATCAATATATCTTATATTATATTATTATCAATAAATCTTATATATATATATTAGGGATGCCCCCTAATAGTAGACTAACCTTTAGTCATCGAGAAGAGGCTTGGTCGACCAAAATTTTATTAGTCGCCTAGTCACAGAATAAAAAAAATCCACAGGAAGTGGTGAGGTCAATCAGTCCGTGACAGACAGATCGTTAATGGCTGGATTTTGTGGTAATACAGTATTGTTACATCCAAACACTCGCCTATCATTCATCGACCTCAAATATGGCTCATCATTTGAAATACAGTGGGTACGGAAAGTATTCAGACCCCCTTAAATTTTGCGCTCTTTGTTATATTGCAGCCATTTGCTAAAATCATTTAAGTTAATTTTGTTTCCTCATTAATGTCGACCAAAATTTTATTAGTCGCCTAGTCACAGAATAAAAAAAATCCACAGGAAGTGGTGAGGTCAATCAGTCCGTGACAGACAGATCGTTAATGGCTGGATTTTGTGGTAATACAGTATTGTTACATCCAAACACTCGCCTATCATTCATCGACCTCAAATATGGCTCATCATTTGAAATATGTAAGTAGTAGCAACTATACACGGCCGCTCAATCTAATGTTAACCTAGAAAAATATGCACTATTCATGTGTCTGTGCGGAGTGTGAAAGCTGAACAGTACAGAGGATCCCCAAATTCAGGTGTGAAAAACTTGTTGCATCTTTCCCAAAAAGACTCATGGCTGTATTAGATCAAAAGGGTGTTTCTACTAAATACTGAGCAAAGGGTCTGAATACTTAGGACCATGTAATATTTCAGTTTTTCTTTTTTAATAAATCTGCAAAAATGTCAACAATTCTGTGTTTTTCTGTCAATATGGGGTGCTGTGTGTACATTAATGAGGAAAAAAAATTAACTTAAATGATTTTAGCAAATGGCTGCAATTTAACAAAGAGTGAAAAATGTAAGGGGGTCTGAATACTTTCCGTACCCACTGTATGTAAGTAGTAGCAACTATACACGGCCGCTCAATCTAATGTTAACCTAGAAAAATATGCACTATTCATGTGTCTGTGCGGAGTGTGAAAGCTGAACAGTAGCGCTCACAGCATGACAGATGGAGGTGCCGGTGCAGTCACTTGCTCTTAAAATACTCCGTCATTTTGGTCATACAGATAAGAGTAATGCATCTTTCAAATCTGTAAAGCCTCGTTTATTTGTGTGCACTCACAATAATAACAAAACATTGCCCTTTTGTAAAATAATGAAAGCAAATAGGATGTGCTTTCTGCCATCTCGGCCTCTCTGAACTTGAGCGCGAAACTCATATACTCATAACACGTGTATGCTTGCCTTACAGACATGAAAAATATATCTATAGAGAGTGAAATGTCTAATTTCAAATTAAACGATTCAAATCTGGAAAAAAAACTAATATTCTCAGATTATGTAATTCGAATGAAATTTGCATGCAGGCGCATCCACTACTGTGGAGATGACGAGTCAGTGTCACCGAATTCATCTCTTAAGCCAAAAACACAGAAAACACTAGTTTATCAATAGATTATTAAAATGTTAATGCAGTTTAATCTTACTGTTTTTCCCTGACACATTCATCATCATTACTTCTGCCGGTGTGCTGTGGCAAGCTTTATGTGTGTGCTTGAGTGCTTATTAGGCTATGTAGGCAATTAAAGGCTCATTAGCATGATTTAAATGGTTTATTAATAAACGTGCGATTATTCGACTAATGCTTAAAATTAACTACTAATAGTCGACCAGAAATATCTTTAGTCGAGGGCAAAAAATATATATATATATATATATATATACTTTTTTTTTCTTTAATGAATAGAGAAAAGTTCAATGGACAACAATTATTTGAAATAGAAATGTTTTGTAACATTATTAATGTCTTTACTGTTACTTTTGGTCATTTTAATGCATCTTTGCTGAATAAAAGTATAGATTTCTTTAAAAAGCATTTACTGACCCCAAGCCTTTTAACGGTAGTTTATAAAGTATTTTGTAAAACTGATAGTTGTCTGTTTCTCAGCTACCTGAACGCAATTCAGACCATGTGCCCTCACATTCTGCGCTACCTGACCACGGCCGTAATCACCAACAAAGATGTGAGAAAGCGACGACAGGTCCTCAAAGACCTGGTCAAGGTCATCCAACAGGTCAGCATGAAGCCTGCAAATTTAACAAGACAGTGGATTGCCTAAATGACTAGTGGGTATATATTTACTCTGGTTTAGGGTCACGCCAGCCAAACACCAACCAGATATGTTTGTTAGCCATATATGAATAAATTGGATAATTTGATCTCATAAATGTTTCATTGTTAAATATAGATTTTACTGCATTCAGTGATTGTCAAATTGTGTGGACCACACCAGTGTATGATGCTTTCAGATTTTTATGTTAAAAATGAACTTTTGAATTAACATCATACTAAAAATAAATATTATGGTAGCTGTAAATTAATCTACATCAATAGCAACATTAACACATTCATTTAAATATTAAAGATTAAATAAATATTGAAGACAAATATAGATAAACCAGCTGGTTAAAGGAATAGTTCACCCAAAAATTAAAATTCTATCATTAATTCTATCATTAATTACTATCATATCTATCATAAATATCGTTTCAAACCCGTAAGACTTTCGTTCATCTTCAGAACACAAATTAAGATATTTTTGATGGAATCTGAGAGCTGTCTGACCCTGCATAGACAGCAACGCAACTGAAATGTTCCCAAATCCAGAGACGTAGCAAGGAGATCGGTAAAATAATCCATGTGACATCAGGGGTTCGACTGTAATTTTACGAAGCTACCAGAATACATTTTGTGCACAAAAAATCAACAATTCGTCTCCTCCGCATCACCTTGTAGCGCCATTTTGGAGAGTATCAGCTGGGCGTAAACAACGTATGCTGTTCTGTGTCAGCTGCGTCACGCCGGATCTGTTTCCTACGTTGTTGTGATTTGATCTGAACGAAAACAGCGTATCCGTGTGATGCAGCTGACATAGAACAGCATACGCTGTTTATGTCCAGCGGATACTCTCCAAAATGGCGCTACAAGGTGACTCGGAGGAGACGAATTGTTGAATAAAGTCATGATTTTTTTTTTTCTTTTGCGCACAAAGTATTCTCGTAGCTTCATAAAATTACGGGTCCCCTGATGTCGAATGGATTATTTTACAGATCTCCTTGCTACATTTATGGACTTGGGAACATTTCAGTTGTATTGCTGTCTATGCAGGGTCAGAGTAATTGACAGAATTTTCATTTTTGGGTGAACTACCCCTTTAACCATCCATTGATCACACATGCTAATATGCACACAACAGCAGTGTTTTTAATGAAAGGAGCATCTGAGCTGAAAGAGTTTATTTCAGTTTGGGTTGTTATGAAGATTGACCTCTTTATGGTTCAGATGAATGAGCTCACAGATTCTCCTTTGAGGTTCGTAGCTCGACATGCGCTGTTGCGTTCCATTACGTTCATACTAGATGTGTTTCCGTTTAAGTATTGATTCAGAGCTCGTGAATTAGTGTCTCTTTTAAAAGTAGTCGTCAGAGTGCTTCTTGGGGCGCTGCCACATTTTATACCCATGACTTTGGCACTTTCTGTCAAAATTAGAAAGAGATTAATGTTACTCTCTGCTTTTGCTCTCTCAACAGGAGTCATACACGTACAAGGATCCTATCACAGAGTTTGTGGAGTGCCTCTACGTTAACTTTGATTTCGACAGCGCTCAGAAAAAACTGAGAGAGTGCGAGTCGGTAAGGTTCATCACCTACTGCGTGTGTATAATGCAGCTACCAGGGCTGTCATCCTTGTGATTCCCTCTGTACACTGCTTCCCTCTGTTTGAATCGGTTGGAGACGAGCATTGATAGGTGCTTTGCTTGGAGCCATAGGTCCATTCATCCACTGAAAATCCCTGTCTACTGTAATTTACTGCTGTTTCCCACTAGGCTTTTCAAGGCGTTTCTGCTGTCAGTTTTCAGACCTACAGCTATGAGGCAGCTCCACTCTTAGATGTGGCCTAGTTGGGCCAGAGGGAGCGTTCAGCATGCAGACCTGTGAAAGCATAGTCTCCCCTGCCTTTTCACCAGTTTCAGTTTATGTCTCAGGGATTTGTGTCTATAAAAGCTGATTTAGTTTCTAGGGTGATCCTTTTTTTTTTTTTAAAGAGAAAAAAAATCTAGTGGGGGTAAATAACTATATAATATGTTTGTAGATACCATTCAAAAGTTTAGGGTCAGTAATGTTTTTTCATAAATTGATAAGAAATGTTTTTGAGCATCAGCATAACATAATGATATCAGCATGTTAGAATGAATTCTGAAGTATCATGTGACACTGAAGACTGGAGTAATTGCTGCTGAAAATTCTGATTTTTTTTATCACCGGAATAAATTACATTTTGCAATATGTTAAAATAAAAAACAGATATTTTAAATTGTACTAATATTTCACAATATTACTGTTTTAATGTATTTTTGATCAAATAAATGTAGCCTTGGTAAGCATAAGAGACGTCTTTCAAAAACTTTTAAAAAATCTTACTGATTCCAAACTTTTACTGTTGTATATGTGTAGTGGTTATATATGTTTTATTTGCTTTTACACAGATGCTAATGGCTGTTATTTGTCTTTATTAATCAAGCTTATCTACTGTCGGTTAATTAAAATTAAATGCTAATGTGTTCAGTAATAATTCAAGCAGTGTTTTTTTTAGTTTTTTTTCCAAGCAGTTTTTTTAGATATTTTAAATTGTACTAATATTTCACAATATTACTGTTTTAATGTATTTTTGATCAAATAAATGTAGCCTTGGTAAGCATAAGAGACGTCTTTCAAAAACTTTTAAAAAATCTTACTGATTCCAAACTTTTACTGTTGTATATGTGTAGTGGTTATATATGTTTTATTTGCTTTTACACAGATGCTAATGGCTGTTATTTGTCTTTATTAATCAAGCTTATCTACTGTCGGTTAATTAAAATTAAATGCTAATGTGTTCAGTAATAATTCAAGCAGTGTTTTTTTTCCAAGCAGTTTTTTTTTTTCAATTCTGTTTGTGGCGCTTGTGTGCAGAAATTAGACACTTTTCTGTTAAAGTTTAGTGAAGAAAAAGTCTTAATTTACTCTTAAATCTCTTTTTAAAAAATATAAAATTCAGTCTGTTCAGACTGTTTAAAATACATAATTCAGTCTCAAGGCCTTTCAGAGGAACATCAACAACACTTACACAACTTTCAAAGCAGATCATTTGAATGGATTTTATTGTTTTCAAGGTGCTGGTGAACGATTTCTTCTTGGTGGCCTGCTTGGAGGATTTCATTGAAAATGCGCGGCTGTTCATCTTTGAGACGTTCTGCCGGATCCATCAGTGCATCAGCATCAGGTAGTGCCGCCTCCCAGGAGGAATCCTGATAGACCAGTGTGTGCTAATCCTCTTAGCGCTGTAAAAAGAGCGTAGCATGCTGCGATGATTCAACACGCTGCCAGGATCAATGGACTCCAACCAAATCTGACAAAAGCTGAGCGACTTCACAATAGTGTACATTCTAACGATCGAGCTTGAAGGAAAGCAAGATTCCGATAGATGCGAGTACAGCAGTGGGTTTACAGATCAGCGTTATTTTAGTATCATTAATAGTTTAGTTATATTTTTTCTATCTTCTGTTTTTAATGTTTTATTTGTTATACAGATTTTTATTTAATATTTAATTTTGTAATTTTAATTTTGGTTTTAGTTATTTTAGTACATCAAGTTAAACTAACTAACTGAAATAAAACAAGTTTATATTTTTTATATTATTTAATATTTCAAGTAACAAATGTTTTATGGTTCTAGTTAACTGTAATAACTCTGTTACAGATGTTATTTTGATGTTTGTTAACATTTCCTTTGAACAGCACTATTTGTGCCGGGAGCCCTGTTGTTTTCACATGCAATCGTAGAGATGGTGGTGCGAATTAATTCGTCATCAGCTTTTGTTTATCACACCGATTGATTTTTATCAAGACTGTTCGAGCTCTTGTTTGAAGACGAGAGCTACAGCTTGTTGTTGACCTCAGGCAATCTCTGCATTTCTCATTTTGTCCCTCTCACCCATCGGTCTTCCTGTCTCTGGGCAGCATGTTGGCAGATAAGCTGAATATGACCCCCGAGGAGGCCGAGAGATGGATCGTAAACCTGATCCGCAATGCCAGACTGGATGCCAAAATCGACTCCAAACTGGTGAGCGAGCTCTGGGGTGCAGAACACATGTCTGAACACAAAGCCCATTAGATTGAGATGCAATAAGACTCCTTCCGACAGTGAAAGTGGGCTGTTTGTTTGTTCATTGTTTAACTAAGGTGCACATAGCCTAGAGCAATTTTACTTTATGAAATGATAAGTCTTACATTTTAAATGTATTTGTAATTTCTCTTTAAGATTCACAAGCTGAGTATAATCCCTTAAAGTGATAGTTCACCCAAAAATTACTCACCCTCATGTTGTCTCAAACCTGTGATTTTCTTGGTAACACTTTACAATAGGGTCCTGATTGATAATATTAGTTAACTAGATTAGTTAACATGAACTAATAAACAGTACATCTACAGCATTTATTAATCTTGACTAATATTAATCTTAACCTTTACAAATACATTATTTTAAAATGAGAAGTTAACATTAGTTAATGCATTGTGAACTAACATGAATGGAGAATGAAAATCTGTATCAAAAACTAACATTAATACAGATAAATGTTGTAAACTATATTACTCATTGAGAGTTTTATAGTTAGTTAAGAGATTCATAGTTAGTTAATGCATTACCGAATGAGACCCAAGGTGTTACCCTTTTTTTATTTCTGTGGAACACAAAAGGAGATGTTTAGCAGAATGTCCAAGCTGCTCTTTCCCATATTACAAAAGTATATGACAAAAAAAGCATGGTAGCACTTTACAATAAAGGGTAAATTCATTAATATTAGCTAATTAATTTCTTTAATTTATACTGAAATGTTAAAAATCTGTTTGAGGAAATTAAGATTAATAAATGCTGTAAAAATATACAATTTAACATAAGCTGTTGAATTAATAATATTAACATCTGATTGTGAGGTATTAACAAATAATAAAAAGGGGGAAAAAATTCTCTGGGAGGGGAGTTGGGGGGTAATCTCTGTTTAAAAGGACAAGCCAGTTTTAGTTTTCTTGCCTTTGTTTGTGTGTTTGTTGTTAAGATCTTAATGTAACTTGGCATAGGAGCTGTAATTCAGTAAAAAAAAAAAAAAGGTTGTCTGAAGTTTTGCAAATCATTATAAACCCAAAGTGATGCTGAATCACTAAATCCTCTAAAGCCTTTTCTGAAATGTTAAAAATCTGTTTGAGGAAATTAAGATTAATAAATGCTGTAAAAATATACAATTTAACATAAGCTGTTGAATTAATAATATTAACATCTGATTGTGAGGTATTAACAAATAATAAAAAGGGGGAAAAAATTCTCTGGGAGGGGAGTTGGGGGGTAATCTCTGTTTAAAAGGACAAGCCAGTTTTAGTTTTCTTGCCTTTGTTTGTGTGTTTGTTGTTAAGATCTTAATGTAACTTGGCATAGGAGCTGTAATTCAGTAAAAAAAACAAAAAAAAAAAGGTTGTCTGAAGTTTTGCAAATCATTATAAACCCAAAGTGATGCTGAATCACAAAATCCTCTAAAGCCTTTTTTTTTTCATTGTAATACTTGGAACATTTCTTTAATAATTTATGCTGGTGTTCTTTTAATGTCTTAAACGGTTCGCTGCTCCTCCCTGATGAGTGTTTTCTACTCAGGGTCACGTGGTGATGGGCAACAACGCCGTGTCGCCATATCAGCAGGTGATCGAGAAGACCAAGAGCCTGTCGTTCCGCAGTCAGATGCTGGCCATGAACATCGAGAAGAAGATCAGCCACAGCAGCAGGAACGAGGTACTGGACTCAAAGCAAACAACACACACAGGGTGCTCAGGCGGACCCTTTTTCCTTCAGCCGAGCCTCATTGGAATCATTAGCGTCATAAAATGAGTGTGCTGGGAAACCTTTGCTTTGAAACATTGAAGCATTTGTCCCTTAACTGAACATTAGCCAGCATTAGCTGGTGTACATTTCCCCAAAATATCTTGCACACTCCCAAATCAAAGCCCAGACTCAGTGAAATTTCTGAATAATCAGATTTTATGTCAGTGAAGTAATTCACGTCATATGTCTTGTCCTGCATTTGCTTGATACTCACTTTGGAGACATTGCTCAAGTCAGAACATTTAGGCCACTTAAAATATTTATGTCAAACACTTAATAGAAGAAATAGTTTCAAGCAAACTTCTGCTGTATATGCTGCATCTTTGATGTCACTAATGACCCTCTATTTCCTTTCTAGACACCGAACTGGGCGGCTCAAGACACTGGCTTCTATTAGACTGGAAACACAAGGCAAACAGCGGATTAACTTACTCCTCAGCCTCATCTTAGTATTTAACTAACAATCTTTTATCTAGTCACGTTTCATATTAGGAGCATTTTTACAAAAGTTTGATGGAGACATTTCCAGCATGACGAAATCTATGGAGTTCTGAGGTGTTTCCGTGAACTTTATGTATTCTGTATGAAGGAAGGAATTTACCATGCAAGATTTTATTTATTATTCCAGTTCAGTGTAATCTCAAAGGACATTTTTCTTTTCCCTTATGCGAGTCATTGTTTTGAACATCATAACACGTTAATAAACAGTGAAAGTGTGTTTCTGAACACATTTTCAAGGAACTTGCATCATACTTCTGGAATCTTTTATGGTTAAAGGTGAAGTGTGTAATTTTGGTGTCATTATCGGGAGCAAATAATAAGGATTGTTTCCAAAAAGGTTCTACTATTGTTTCAGCTTTAAAGACATTGTTCATTTAAGCCGATGTTGGCCGTGTGAGACCACTCACAGAAACATTTTTAATAGATAACTCGTCGAGTTATCCTGAAAAAGGTATGGAAATGAAAAATCTTAAAAGGTCCTGGAAGTTTCTGTTGCTAAACGTTCAAAAGTTTAGGGTCAGTAAGATTTTTTAAAACGTTTTCGAAAGAAATCTCTTGTGCTCACCTTGTGAAATCAGCAATATTGTGAAATATTACAATTCGTTTTCCATTTTAATATATTCTATAATGTAATTTATTCCTTTGATGACACAGCTGAATTTTCAGCAGCCATTACTCCAGTCTTCAGTGTCGCATGAAATTCAGAAATCATTCTAATAAGCGGATTTTGTTCTCAAGAAACATTTCTTCTTATTATTATCAATGTTTAAACGGTTATACATAGATTGTTCCAAAATGTATTTCAAATAAAAGGGTTCTTAATTTTAAGTAATTTTTTTTCTCTCACTTTTGCTGAATAAAATAATTTTCTTTCCAACAAACAAACAAAAATAAAAAACATGAACAACAAACCTTACTGACCGCAAAACTTTAGAACTGTTAATAGAAAACCATTCAAAAGCATTTCATTATTTTCTTTTAGGAGCAGTCTTCCAAAAAAAGTAATAAAATAAATATATACAGTCAACAGGAATAAATGAAAAAGGCTTTGAAAATCACACAAATTCATAGGTCAGAAAGTGTGGAAGCTCTGTATCAAGTCTGGTGATAATCTTTCAGTAATGGCAAGAATATGCATAAGCAATGTCTCAGCTCATGTTTCATCCACTAGGTGGCAGCAGTGACTAACTTTTCCACCATTGTCTGGCTACTCACCCAAAGACAGCTACAAACCAGTCATTACCAGCTGCCTGACTGATCATCATCTCTTTTAAAGCCTTCTTGATTTTCCAGTGTGTTTACAAGCCCGAACCTAAGGATGTTGGGCATCTGTGTTTGATTTTGGGGGGACCAGGTAATTTTGGGCCAGAGGTTGAAAAAACAGGGTGTGTGTTGTCAAAGCAGCTAACCAAGATGGAAAGATCCTGTTGTGACTCATAAATGACCAGCTTCCTCTGAATGACAGATTTTCCTTTGGTTATTTTTATATTTCATCCAAAGTCCAGACAAAATGCTTGTGGAAAATGTGCTGTTTAGAACTTACTGTGTGCATGTTTCCTGGAAGCAGATCAGTTGTTCTATTAAGCAAAATAGAGACTGTAATGCATCCACTCAACCGTTCAAAAGTTTGGAATAATTACGATTTTTCAATTAATTGATTTTCTTATGCTTACCAAGACTGCATTTATTTGATCAAAAATACAGTAATATTGTGGAAAAATGATGACAATTTAAAAGAACTTTTAGAGTAATACTATATTTTATCATGGCAAAGTAGAATGTTCAGCATTCATGATCCTTCAGAAGTCATTCTAATATGCTGATTTGGTTCTCAGTTTTTATCAGTTATTAATAATGCTTGTGGAAAATGTGCTGTTTAGAACTTACTGTGTGCATGTTTCCTGGAAGCAGATCAGTTGTTCTATTAAGCAAAATAGAGACTGTAATGCATCCACTCAACCGTTCAAAAGTTTGGAATAATTACGATTTTTCAATTAATTGATTTTCTTATGCTTACCAAGACTGCATTTATTTGATCAAAAATACAGTAATATTGTGGAAAAATTATGACAATTTAAAATAACTTTTAGAGTAATACTATATTTTATAATGGCAAAGTAGAATGTTCAGCATTCATGATCCTTCAGAAGTCATTCTAATGTGCTGATTTGGTTCTCAGTTTTTATCAGTTATTAATAATGGTTCTTATATAAATTTTGTTTTTGCTGCTGTTTTTTTTTTTAAGTGAGTCTTAAAGTCTTTAACCATGGAAGTCACACTTAAAAATGTGAAAATGATTCTAGAGAACTTCTCAGAACTAGCTTTAACCATTTTAGCAATAACTTGCTTTTTAAGTGGATGTACGTAATCAGTTCTGTGTGTCTAAAGTGTGACTAAAGTGTCCAAACACATTTTAAGGCCACTGTTTACATTCATTATCTCCATGTTCTCAGTGTTTATATGCGCAGACCTAGTAAGTGATCTACGTTGTCGCTTTAAAGTGCCTCGGGTGCATTTCTTTGCTACTACCTACCATTAACCAACAGGCCTCGGAGCCGGAGTGAAATGAGGGTGTGTGTGAGTGAGAGATGTTTTGCCCTGGGAGTGGCTGCTGGATAATGCAGGCAGGGTTGCGAGTGCCGCTCGGCTCAGTGAAGAAAACGCACACGCTCGTATACGCACTCCTCCAGAGCTGACGTGGGTTGTGGCCTGGCACAGCTGCTTCCCATCTGCCACTGAGAAGCAGCCACAGGAGCTAGAATAGAGGGAGTAGACAGAGAGGGGAAAAGGAAAAGTGGCTAAGTATGGATGCGCTGCAAGATTGGGCCCTGGTGTACCCAGCTCTGGCCCGGGTGCTCTGGGTGATTGTGTTGGTATTGGCCACCATCCTGGTTTGGAGCTTGTTCTTCTGCTGCTGGGGAAACCAAAGCTCCACCTCACCTCTGGAGAGATACCTCTCAGGTAATAAAGCTGCTTTTATTCTCACTCAGCTCTCTGGAATCAGTTCTTAAGCTCTTTCCAGATCAGTAGTAGTTTTAGAGCGTTTGAGGAAGAAAAAAATGTTTTACAGTGGAAACAATAAGCTGATTTTCCATGACTGGCTGCTTTTCGTGTGCACAGGATGGAAAAGTGGTTGAGTTGTGTGTTCACTGTCATGGACGTCATCTGAAGGGGTGTGCTGAATCCTCAAATCACAGTTTACTATTTAAATTGGATGTACTAACTGTAGCTTTCAGTGAAATCTGTGCGTTCTTTGAATAAATGAAACACATTCCCGTAGGTTTCCACAAACGTAGCAGCCATGTGTTTAAAAGAAACATTCAAGGGTCTGAAAGAGTGAAGCAGCAGTTCACATAACAAGACTAGTTCCTTCTGAGATCTGGGGTCAAGGTTCAAAGAAGGCTCAGGCTTGCTGTTTAAATGATTACTGTGACAGAGGTTTTGACAGTTCTACACAATTTTAACCTACTTGCCAGTGTGTTTATATATACATATTCAGTATTTCGAGTGGGCAGATCTCATAGTTTAATATCCTCCGCATGCACTTCCTTTACCTAATTTAATACTCTATTTCTGTTTCAGCCATGGAGAGACAGTCAAAGACAAAACACCAGAGCCAGGTACGTAATCGCTCCATTATCAAGTTCATGATGCTGATATGATATTAGTATTCAGTACACTCAAATAACCCAAATTTTGTTCATTTCCCAGCTGAAATATGTGTAGTGTGAACATAAATTCTCAGTTATGTTCAGGATGGAATAAAGGCATACTCCATACTGCAGCGAATGCACTGCATACTATCATTTTACCATGTTTACAATTGGTATCCGAAGCAGTATGTAATGGTAAAGGTTTAAAACTGTAGCATGTTACAAAGATTTCCTCCAAAATATTACGCACCTCAACTCTTTTCAACATTGATAATAACAAGAAATGTTTCTTGAGCACCAAATCAGCATATTAGATGTTTTCTGAAGGGTCATGTGACACACAAGACTGTAGTTATAAGTGATGTTAAGTTCAGCTTTGCAATAACAGGAATAAACTACATCTTAAAATATATTAAAATAGAAAACAATTATTTTAAATTGTAATATTTCACAAAATTACTGTTGTATAGTATTTTTAATCAATTAATGTAGCCTTGGTGACTATAAGAGAATTCTTTCAAGAACATTTAAAAAAATCTTACCGACCCCAGACTTTTGAACAGTAGTGTACATACTGCAAAAACAGGAATTTGCTAGTATGCCATTCCGAATATGCCTGTCTTCAGAATATGTATTTTTTACCCAGCAGCCTCTAGAGGCCAGTATTGTAAAAACAAGCCAATAGATGACACATTATGCAGCTTCTTTTTTTTTCAGCAACTTTTCAGTGATCCAAAAACTTTTTTTTTATATTGTGGAAAAATACTTTGCTATAATTGATTGTGGTACTTTGCTATAATTAAATACTAAAGGTAAATGATTTTAAATGCAGGTAAAAACATCTTAGAACCTTACAGTTTACTCAGTATATGAAGGCACACAGTAAAACAGCTGTGTACATGCACTATTCCTTATGATCAATAAATGATAAACACATTATAATTGCTTTATAAGTTATAGATTATTGAGTCTATGTGTCAGTTGTCAGTGCAGACTTGTTGTGTTCATGCTGGTTTGATAGACTGCCGGACAGAGATGGCCTGTGATAGCGCTGTCTGCATGAATGGAGGCACTTTGTCTCTGCACACTGTTATAGGACAACAAAAGGCTGTTTCCTCCCCTGTCCTCTAAGTGGACAGAGAGAAAAACATATCCAAATGACATTATCTCACAGCCTGAGAGAAAAGGCAGATTAAGTTTAAGAATTAGATTTGTTTGTGCAATATACGGAGCAGATGGACAAAATGATGATGGCCATAATCATTTATTCTGGGTACTGCAATAACCGGTTTAAAGTACAATTCTTGCTTTTTTTCTTTTTTTTTTGGATTGAAGTATTATGTTAATACACTACAATATCATTTGGTAATGGCCATTAATGCCCTGATTCAGGCCTTGAAATAAAAGCCAGCATGAGTTATGTTCTTGTACCTGTTTTCTATTTAAAAAACGTATTTGTCTAATAGAAATGGCCTAATTGTGCACCTGACAGATTCAATCACACTCACAGACTATCGCATAAAGACTGCTTTGTGTGATCCAGGCAGTGGGCGTCAGAAATGGCTGAACAGTTTCTAAACTCACTGAGAAC